AACCACAACTTGTCGAGTGGTCATTCAGCCGGGATCGCCACCGATAATTGTCCGACCATTGCATGATGTGCAACTAGTATCGGGAGACCGGGTAAAACTGACAGTTCAGTACAAGGTAGGAAAAACTATTTAACCTTTTGCCATTTTTTGCTAACAACGAACATCACTGACACTCAGAAGCTAACCAATTAATAAATTTTATGCTCAAAAACCCTGTCGGATGGTAATCTGGGCATACTTATGTGAAAACAGGATTACAGTTATGTTTCACAACTTTTCAGTGTGAATAATCTTCAAATAGCAATTATATTCTGGGTGACGTCTTTCACATTTTCTGTAACCCCTCTGAAAAAATCCTGTTTTTCCACACTTGACAGAGTGTTCTCCCGGTGGAAATTGAATGGTTCCACTCTGGTATCCCTGTTCGTGGCGAGTTCGGGCGCCGTCGCATCACCATGGAAGGCTCGGATACGATTAGTCTGAACTTTCCACAGGTATGTTAGTGCTTTCATTTCATGGTCTAAGTGAAAAATACAGCTGAATTGATCCCATTTCAGATATTTGGTATAATTTCCTAGACTAATGATCGGATCATTTGTCAACGGGACCTATGTGCATGTGGTCTTAGGGTACACTGTGCTATTTTTCTCACCGAGATTAAGTCACAACCAGAATCAAGAGCACTTGCTCTCAATCCCTTGTGTGTGGTTTGTGGGAAGTTTGCACGGTATTTCGACCGAGTGAATCATACAGGCGAGTGGTTGGTACTATCTAGGCTATCCAGTTGTATTGTTCTCATTTGGGACGTTCCATTAAAAGCAAAATACCGAAATGAACATTGGTTACAGAAAGGATCTTTTAAAATGGGACAGAATCTTGCGACAGAGATTAGCAACCCTCTTTTGAAGAGTTTTCAATGAAATTGGTTAGGAAATCTTCATCCAGAAATCACAAGGATTGTTTCTACATCATAAATGATGGTAAATTGCACTTTATTTGATCAATGAATGTATCTCAACACATTTGTTGCGGTCATATAAGAGTATTAGTGGTATGTTGATTGTCGAGTCATCGCGCCTAATCTGATCGCGATACTCGGGAAAATCAAACACGTTAACGAGCATGTACCTCTGTTTTCACCTCGACAAGCGATCAACCATCGAGTAGATATCAGTATTCATAATGTGTAATGATGCCCATCTCGAGGGAAAGTGTTCAATACACAACTGGAAAATACAGGTACAAAGAGAAATATTTGACTAGGACTTTGCGTTCATCAACTAAAATCCCACTTTTGTCACCTGATCCACGTATGTTTGCGCATTTCAGATCAGCCCAGCAGAAGAAGGTGACTATACATGTGTTGTACGGAACGCGNNNNGCGGTCGGTGAAGCGTCAACCGCGTGCACAGTTCGTGTCACACCACGTGAAAGAGATTCCCGAGCGTCACCGATACCATTCGACGAATTGATTGATGCGTACCGAGCCAGGCCATCGAGAGACAGACCGGTTGCTCCAAGACGTCGTTTGGACTTGTCCGCTGATTTTGATGAAGTGTTTGAACCAGCCAAGACACCGCGCTTGTCCGATGAGCCTCGAGTTACTACAACTGTCGAACAGACAGTGGTTCCTACAGTTATACGGCGAGACCGAGTACCAAGTTATCCAGAACAGCCTCGGATGATGGACTTCCGAAGAGCCACTTCGGTTCCGATACATGAGTTTACTACCCTGCCAAGGTGAGCCATAGTTGCAATCCTGAGAGTGTCATATTAGTAATTACGATTGACAAGGTATTTTTCTTCATTTTGAGTCTATTATTTGAGTTGAATGACACTTATGAATTGTTTTGTGCAATACAAGGTCTGTGATTAGAGAATTGCATACAGATCAAAGTACACTGTTACCTTTCTCCTTGTTCATTTTACAGTATCCGACTTCGTGCACCGATCACGGCCCCACGACCCACATCATTGGTTGGACAACCGCCACAATTTGTTCAACCGCTTCACAATGCCGGCGCCACAGAAGGTCAGAAGATCAAGCTGGAGTGCAGAGTAATCGGTCAGCCACATCCTCAGGTAATAAATCCCGCTTCGATCCTCACACACACACCTTTGTCTAAGTTGTGCTTATATAGTGATTCATGAGGGATATCCTCCATCTTTCGCTTCCGCACTGTTTCGTTCAGATCCAGTGGCTTAAAAATGGCGCACCGCTACCGCGGTCCAACGCGTACGAGACTCGGGAAGATGGGCCGGTGAACAGCCTCATCTTTTACGACCTGTTCTTGGAAGATCAGGGTGAATACACCTGCGTCGCGTACAACTCGTTCGGTCAAGCTCAGACCTCGTGCCGGATGGACGTGGAACGTACGTGCTGTGTTGTGCTGTTCCTTTTTATTTTCAAATCCTTATCTCAAAAACCGTTTGGATCACAAGTGATTTGGTTTTTCAATTATAATAAATTCTTTCTAAGTTTTACTTGGATAAACTCATGAACGAAAAGTTCAGAACACATTTCGATGAAATCATCATCATATGGGATAATTTTTCATAGGCTTCATAGTGCTGACCTAATGTAAAAGTTGGTTACGAGATGTACACTGAAATAATCTTGAGCACACAATGGAGGAGATCGTAAAGTCTCTAACGTGTAGACCGGGATCAGGTAACAGGGGATTCACGAGGGCAGAGAGGTAAAATGCAACCCAGATGAGTGAGTGGGAATATGCATTTCCTTAAGACACGAAAATGAACACAAAAATGACGTACGCGTTCTCACTTTCCACAGTACTAGTGTAACATAACCAAACCGTATGGGGTTATAATGCAAGAGGACTTCAAGCTATCGCCAAATGAATGGTTGTCTGATCATTCACGGTAGAGAAAAATGATTTTCAAACGCTTGAGTTGAATGTGCTTTATTAATTGATTGATTGATTGACGATTGACTCGCCGGTTTTACGTTTAAATCGCACACAAACACACGCACACACGCTGAACTACTGCCGTAGAAGCACTGAGCTAGGAACTGGTGTGTCAATAAAACTTACCGGTACCAAACTTGGCTTGTTCACCAAATTCCGTGATCAAATGACATTTCTTATGAGATGGTCACAACCGTGCCATGATGATGTGCTGGATATGTGGTCAGGAAACACGCGAACGAGTCACATTCAGTCAACGCGCACACATTCATCTACATGTGTTGTTAAGATTAGATACACTTGGTTATCAACTATTTTGGCGGCGCACAAAGATCGGGAGAGCGGCTGGTTGAGGTCAGTCAGCGTGATGATCAAGTATCACAAAGCGAGTTGTCATTGGCCTAGCAATTTCCGGCGTGTACTCCAACACCCATGTTTCCACACACACGCACACAAATATAGACAAATGTGACTTGCAAGCAATGTGAAGATGACTTATTCGATGCGAAGTATGCATAGTTCAATATTCGTTCGATCTGGGGGAAGGCAACAACGTGTACACGATTGTGCACCTCAAGGAGGACAGAACGGGTCGTGCGTAGAATTTTTGAAAAGAAAAGAATTTCGCCAAGAGCTGTTAAATGACCATAAAATAAGGAAACTACGCTCCCTGGTAGAACACCTATATTTCGAATAATTAAACATGAATTAATTTTGGTTTGATCAAATGCCATTCAACTTGTCATTATTCTGTTGCTCTATCTTTGAACAGGTTTCCGATGCAATTATATTCTCATAAATATTAACTTGACATTTTTGTGGGTCTTTTTTTCAAAATTTACCAGCGGTTTCAGGTGGTGAAGAACCGATGGATGAACCGCCTCAGGTAGTTCAACCGTTGCCCTCACAACTGGCGGTGAGCGAGGGTCATGAAGTACGACTGGAATGTGTGTTCTCCGGCCGACCGACACCAACAGTTGTGTGGTTGAAGGACGGTGCTCAGCCTGTGTCTTCACCTGAATTTCAAGTGAGAAACAATTTGAGCTTTTTAGTTCCTTCCTTCCCGATAGTGCTTTTACCTCCTAATGCACAACAGATGTTCATTGCACTCATTTAGTCCGGGACACAAAAAGTACACAAAGTAAAGTTTGAACTCAGCTCGGGTGCACTGGCACGCGTGTACCAGGTGTGTGTCCGTGCGTGCGTACCTGCGCACTAACTACTTCGAACACACCAATATTAGGTATTCTAGATAGAGTCATTTCTTTGTCTCAAAATCGGTGGAGCATTGATACGGACATTGGTCAGACTAGTGCAACATCACCCTGACGCTTTCATCACATTTGGTCCCCCCAGCACTTAGTGTTTTGAGCCTCATTCACGGGGGATTGAATATGATGTTGCCTCACATCAAACGCAACACGTCTGTAATAATACGTTTTGCCTTTATTAGTCGGACACCATTAAAATGTACGATTGCCGGTGCATCAGTTGTAGAATAGTAAAACCTCAGCAGTAAAACAACATAAGAATTCATTCATAAAAATGACTCATAGGCATGAAACAGGTATCGTACTTACATGTTGTCAATGTTCTATTTGCCCTTTTTAATTTTTTAAGCACTGAAGCGAGTTATGCTTGTATGGAGTGTAGCAAATTGTCTGTCAAACAACATTTACCGGTTTCCTTTAGTACATGCCACACCCTAACCACTGACGATCACCAGCGTGGTAGCTCAGTTATCCCTGTTTTTTAACACAGGAAAAGGTTTTCCATTACATTCAAATCAAAACTGTTGGGCGGTAGATAAATGAATTCGACTTTGCACATGACCCATCCAGAAACTGCATACATGTGGAACAAAAACAATATTTACTAGATCAAAACACTTTCCAAGGTCAACCTCAAGCTAGATGCTATGTTAAACTTTATCTGGGAAAAGTAAGACTCATGTGAATATATTTCGAGACCGGCAGTTATCGAAAACCTGCCTGATTGGCACGTACCGGAGACCGACAACAAGATTCCCTCAGTTTATCACTTGATTAAAGATAGCGAATTTTCACCAATCTGTCTATCTGCTTTTCAATGATTGAAAAAGGTAAGCTAGCTAGAGAATGCGTGAACTGATCAGAATAAATACTCTCACGAAACAGCAATCATTCACGAGACAGAATGGAAGTTACATGCCGTTTCGTACTGAATATTATTCAATTTCGAAACTACTACACGTTTTATCGTGAAACCCAGGGTTGGACAAATTCAAAGGAGAACTAAGAAAATTACAGTAAATGTATGGCGGGGGGAGGGGTAAAGTTAGAAATGAATACTGTTCATCCATAGTTACNGAATACTGTTCATCCATAGTTACCGATATACACGTATGATAATGGGCAAATGTAATCTATTTCCAAATAAGGGGCGTGTTACCCGAGTTCGATCAATACCTGTTTTGCAAGTGATTCAACTGAATTGAATCTATAAATTTAGGGTGAAAAATATCATATGACACTATTATTCAACACATACTATCTCCCTACCGACAACAACAAAACCTGGATCATTATATATGTATGCATTACGTGTACCCGAAGCGGTTTCATTCTGAATATGGCGAAAGTATTTGTTCACTATGATGATTATTGCGTTTCATCCAACTTTGGCAATATGACCGGTGAGACACAATTCGATCTCGTGACATGTACCAGCCGGTGGGATTGCGTGTTGTTGGTCATGTTTTGGTGCTGTTGTTACCAATGCCTGTGGCCCCGGCTCATTCATCATTCATTGTACTTTAACATTTTGATTTTTCGCTCTCGATCTGCAGCCGACACAAGAAGGCTCAGTGGCTCGTTTGTATATACCACAAATGAGAGCAGACCGAGCCGGCGTCTACGAGGCTGTGGCAACCAATCCGGTTGGCACGTGTCGTACCACACTCTTCTTGCAATTGGTCCCTGCTCCATACACTGCAATGCCTTCACCTACCATGCGTCCTCGTACTCCAGTCACCATGGCTACCGGACCGGAATTCACACGTATTTTCAAGTGAGTGCACCGTAGTTTGTGTGTGATATCACTCACTACACCACAAGGTGCTTTCGGATAGTTCTCGATTCTAAGTCTTGACCTTGTTCGAATTCATCTGAATGAATTTACCAATAAAGATTTTGAATTTGCCAGTGCAAGAAATTTGCTAAATTCAGTTTCTGATTTTATCTGATTTTGACGATCTATCTGCTTCAATCATTCGAGAATGAAATAAATTTCGGAAGCTCATCGATTTCCAGATATCCATTTTCTGTCACTTCAATCCAGTTGTGTTTGTCATATCACACTACAAATAGCTGGGTACGAAACTAGGCTCATCGATGAAAGCAAATAGCACGCCTTTCGTCTCGTTAAATGTTATGTGTGAAATCTTTGGGACAGCACGCTTTTCTTAAATGAGATTATTCGCCTTTAATTTTATATCTCTTCTTCTTCTTCTAATCAGTAGCATTATTGTTGATGACTATGACGATGCTGTTGCTGCTATTGTAATAGCTTGCTTTAAACTGCCAAAAATAGCAGAAAGAGACCCAGTGCTAAAGCCACCTGCGAAATGAATCTACAAACTGAAGTTTGAAACCTCGAAAGTGACAACTGCTCCAGGTCTCACTTTGACAGTTATGTATGGCATGACGCCAAATGATAAATGACTAGCTGCTCATGAATAAATCCACAATCCAACAATATTCCTTTGATATAAAATAGATGTACAATATCCAAGACGAATACTGCAGCCATTCAAATGTCACCATCAGATCAATAAATGGAAAACAAACATCTACTGCAGTTGAGTTCAAACTTGTGCAATTTTCCATAAAGCAGACTGACGGTCATGTCCTTTCTGGTCAGCTGAGAAAAATAATTTGAACCGCTAAATATTCGAGCTGAACAAGGCAACATGGTGTATGGTTTTTTTGATGGACTATAAAATTTTATTCTGTTTCTTTTGCTTATCTTTTGCGGATTTTATTCACCACGTGTTTTGTTCCACTTGTTCACCTATTCGATTTAGGGATATATACATAGAATCTGAAAGACTGGAAGAAGTGGTTTTGGAATGCACGGTGATCGGTGTTCCTCGTCCCAGCGTCTACTGGACGCATAATGGCCGACTGATCACAGGTGATGATCCTCGTTTCACCCCGGTCCAAGGCCCCGGACCGGATGATCACTGTCTAATTATTCGTCACCCAGATGCATGGGCTGCTGGTGAGTGAAGATCCCAGGTGTTCTGGTGCAGTTGAACAATCAATCGATCGATCTGTTCAGTGTTTCATTTTCACTGTCGTATTTTTCATTTATTGATTTCGAGATACACAAATTAGTCTCCGTGAGTTGTGATAGCTGCTGACATTTATCTGCGGTTAAATCGCCCTTGACTAACGGTACCCAGTTCGAACATAACTGGTTATTCTCAACCCACAAAGAAATCGTTCCACACAATAGCTTCCAGCCGAGTTCATTTGAAGACAACGGTTTGTGCTAAAGACAATACCCGATACAAGGTGAGCTGTTTTAGTGGCAGCATTAGCAGCAGTTTGATAGATATTGATTGGATGTGCGTTCCACCGTCATGTGATCCGTTGTTGTGAATGACGTGTAATCAGTCTCCAGATAACACAGCGGCATTGTATTGCATCGCAGCGGTGATTATTTAAGACTATGCAGTCAATCAGATAAAAAATGGATCCAGTGATGTGTAGTCCACATTGGTTTGGAATTGGTCTATCTCTAATTATTGTGACATAAACCCTCAAAGGTCTGATACTTAGCTGTGTTTGAAGTGAGTGGATATGGGGTATATTGAGTTTCACTGGTTGTACGTACATATGTACACACACATGCACACATACAAGCGTTAAATTGGCAGAACACACGAATAAAACGTTTTTTATCATCCCATTTCGCGCAACTTTTCGAATGTTCCCCTGTTTATAAGTCCTCTGTTCCACAACCCTTGCTCCTATCAATGCACAGGTCGTTATCAAGCGGTGGCCGAGAACATCCAAGGTCGAGCAACGTGTTCGGCCGTGATCAATCCCGCCTCGTACAGTCCGACAATCAGCAGTCGACCACCTTCAGTTTGGAGTCTATCTCGCCTCAGTCGACAACAATAC